CACTGTTACTGACACCCACCCACTGATTGGCCGCTGCGGAAGCAAGGCATAAGCTGTTCCCTAGCAACAGAGCGCTAGTTAACCAATAGCGGGGCATCTGAGAAGAAGCCCTACTTTGCCAATCTGTTGTTACTAAGGTGCAGAGATGACCAGTGGGATTCTCTCGAGGGGTGTGTGTGTGTTCATGCAGTGGAAGCCAACAACCACTGAACTACTACATACCATCACTGAGGGCCAGTCTGCTGTAAACTAATGATATCGAAGTGAACCCGCGTGACAAAGGAGTGTGAAGCTGTATGCACACACATGACAGTGTTGGTGGGGTTTTGTGTTCAGTGTTCAGTATTCCCCAGCATATTTACCATTTTACTGTAATATTCTGAATGCTGTTGGTGTATTAACATGGTGGATTCGCATGGTGCAGGTTGTGCATTTAGTCAAGACAGGAAAGATTACACCATAAGAACCCACAAATTCATCTGTTTGGTCATACATAACACACGCTTCTTCAAAATAATTCCCAAGTGAGAAACTTGTGACTACGGATTATCTCTATATGAGGAATGACTTTGTTTTATGACACCTATCAATGACTATATTGATGAAATGATTTAATATGTAATTTATTACATATTACAAGTTACTTGCATTTAAAAGTAATGTGTTTCTTTACCATACCATATAAAAAAATCACAGGCTGTAAACCATAAATAAAATGATCAACAGAGTTAAATTAATTTACACACAACTAGTAGCGATAGGTGAAGTATAGATAATTGGTCAAACAAAAACATCTATCTATCTATCTATCTATCTATCTATCTATCTATCTATCTATCTATCTATCTATCTATCTATCTATCTATCTATCTATCTATCTATCTATCTATCTATCTATCTATCTATCTATCTATCTATCTATCTATCTATCTATCTATCTATCTATCTATCTATCTATCTATCTATCTATCTATCTATCTATCTATCTATCTATCTATCTATCTATCTATCTATCTATCTATCTATCTATCTATCTATCTATCTATCTATCTATCTATCTATCTATCTAGCTATCTATCTATCTATCTATCTATCTATCTATCTAGTCCCCGCCTCTGACTGCTTGGCGCAGTTCGCTACTTGCCAGTGCCCAATCTCTTCTTCATCTCTAACCCGAGGTCAAAATGTTTTTGGGGGTATTTAACTGCACACACGGTTGATAAGGCAAAGGGTTCCATGCCATCTAAAAAGGGTGTTGAACCTCATGAAAATCACGAATTTTGTGGTTGGGAAAATATCATTTTTCTGTCTTTAGGTTTACACTTGATCTCATCTGGACTTGGACTTGGACTTGGATTCCGCCCCTGGGGACTTGGACTTTTGTAACTTGAACTAAGACTCGATAAAAGTGGACTTGACTAAAGCCCTGATCTGACCAGTAAAATTACCGAACAGATCACAGTGGACCAATAAAATTGTCCGAGTCAGCCTGTGTGAGAGAGAAGTGCAGAAATTGTGTGCAAAGTGGCACATGGCTGTTTAGGAGCAAAGAGAAGCATTGGGAACGAGTGCCATAAATACAGCCATCTTTGCTCTGTTTGTATTCTCACAGAGGATAGAAACTTCAGCCATGGAGTGACAATCTCAGCAGCAAAATGGGTTTCCATAGGATGCACTGTGGCAGGAACAACTGTACATGCTTGTGTGTGAATTCTAAATAAATAAACTGGAGCATGACAAAACCGTTTCTGTATGATCTTCGAGGTGCCGCTATACAATTATTTGGTGTACTTTCTGTCACTTACTGAGTGGCCTTTGCGCTGTATGAGTCCATAATCCTGTTGCTCCGGTGCAATGGGGGAGGACTTCAGAGGTGGGGAGAGGGTGAGGTTCCGTCGTATAGGCCGAGAATCCATCTTGTCACCCAGTCGGACGCTCTCCAGCTGGTCTTTGCCTTCCCTGCCCTCTTTGCCCTCTCTTCCTTCCCTCCCGTCTCGGTTCCTATGTCTCTGTCGTTGCAATGTGTGTGAGCGCCCCTCCCCGTGAGAATGACTGTGCACGTGCTTCTCCTCCCCGTGCCCATAGGGCTTATGTGTAGTGGAGTCTCTGGGCTGTAAAGGCTTCATCTCCATTTCATAATTGCTAATTTTCTCTTCGTCCTGTTCGAGAAGCCGCCCTCCCCTGCTCTCCGCCCCCCTGTGCCCGGACGTCCAAGAGGCAGAAGTGGATGTCTCTGTCCATCTGTCTCTCCTCGTTTGTTTATGATTAGATGAACTATGGTCCCGAGACTTGTGATTGGTGGAGCTGTGTTTGTGTCCATTGGTCCTGCTCGTGCCTTGTCCGCTAAGTCCTCCTCCCCCTTTATGGAAGAGCCCTTTCCTCTTTTCCTCACTACAACTTTTTGCCCGCATGTACTCTACCTTTCCTCCTCCACCTTCACTCTCCCTGCTGCCTCCCTCGATCAAGACCTGAATTTCTGTCTGCCCTCCAGGCCCTTCTTTCTCTCCCCGCTCTCCCCCTTCCTTCCCCCTATCTCCATGGTCGACTGCAGTCTGCCGGTGAAAGCGAGCACTTTTGCTGCGTTGGGCTGGCCGAATTAAGGCAGGAGGACTGTGGGGAGGTGATGAAGAAGGGGGACTAAGATCTGGCGTGGCATTGGAGGGGTCTTCCGAGCCTGTGCTCCTCACATAGAGGTCCGGGCTGTCTGCGGTTCCGGCGCTACTGGACACGCCCTCACCCTCCACTTCGCTGGACACTTGACACTTGGGACGTTGCACTTCCATGCCTGCAAAAAAAAAAAAAAAAGATGAGACGGGATGGAAATTTAGCTTTGTGGTTTGTTTGATTGCGCTCTGAAAAATTAATCATAGCATAATTCATTTTCAAGTGTTTTCATCCAGTTACTTTAATTTAAATCATACAACAAGAATGTATTTACGGTATTTACATTCCTCTGAATCAGCATAAATATATTTTAAATGTGTCAGGCTGTGGACTAACAAAGACTCTTTCAGTTAAAATTTATGAAATTGCATCAGTCAAAACGTATGAATATATTTTAAATGTGTCAGGCTGCGGACTAACCAAGATTCATTTCATTAAAATTCATGAAATGTATGTAAAGTTGGCCAGGGCGATCACAAATCACCACTGTGAAGGTGGCACTTCGAGACTACCTTCCACCCCGATCGTTTCTGTTCGTATGTGAACCCCCCCCCCCCCACACACACACACACACACACACGCACACACACACTCCCACAATAGCTGTACGGTTGAGGAGGGGGGGGTGTCATTTTTTTTATTTAATGATGATGACAGTATAATAATAATAATAATAATAATAATAATAATAATAATAATAATAATGAGTTTAATGAATTGATTTATGTGATGTTTCAGAGGGTTCCATGCATGCTGTATTCATATTCATAAATAACATAGGATTGGCACTTATCTGCAGAGCTCTGAATCTTTCTGCCTACATGTCGATCAAATTCAAATAGATAGATCAATTAGATAAAATAAAGCCCTCAGTCTGTAATGAATCCTGTTTAATGTGGTGGAAAGCGGAGTACCAGAAAGAACCTGCATAGGCACAGGCAGAAGATGCAAACTCCATACAGAAAGGTCCAAATTGAGATTCAAATCCAGAACTGTGAAGCAGACGTGTTAGCTTCATGTATCACTCTGCAGCAAGATTATTTAACTGTTTTAATTCGTGTTGCCTAAGACATGTTCATGTATAAAATTAACCATGGGCAGGTGTGGACATGGGCAGATGTGTGTAGCAGGTAATATCAGTAAATTCTGTGAGTGTGTGTTTACCCACCATTTCCCGGGTACTGGAAAGAAGGGGAGAACTGCTTGGCAGTGACTCTGGCCATGCGACTCTCCTCTTGAGCTTTCTGGGCCGCTCCAACAGCTGCCTCTGCTTTACCCTGTGCATGTGCAGTCCTGACACACAGAAAAGAAAATTTGAAAAAAATGTCAATCAATACAGACGTGAGACAGTGCAGCCATGTTTTTGTAGTGAGTTGATAATGATGAAAATAGAGGCCCTTCTGTCAAGCACAAAAGCATACTGTAAAGGTGAGGGGTATTGCCATTTAATAATTAAGCAACATTACCCCAAAACTACCCAAATGATTTTCAGAAAATGTTCAAGAGGGGTGGAAAAGCATCAGCAAGAGCCCTTTTAATTCAGAAGCATTCTGAGTAACTTATTTTTTCCTTTTGCCATGAGAATATATAACCATAATTTGTGTTCCATAATTTTTTATGATTTGTCTTTTTGAGTTGGTTTTGTGTTTGTTTACTTCTGGTGTGACTTTATGTTATATCGGGAGTCTCGGCAGGTCGGAGTTGTTGCCTTTTACGTTTGGGGGATGGAAGTGGTGTGAGTTGAATTCCAATATTGACAAGAGGTTTGAGGTGATGCCTTTGATTCTCTCTGTGGAGTCAAAGTCGGAGGTAAATCCAGGGTTGGATGAAGTTGAGGCATCTATTGGCACAAGGATTACTGGGTGCAGAGTGAGGATTACTTTGTGACTGTTTTACATTTGGACATATTCCAGGGTGATGTTTTATCAGTCATTGTGTATTTCCTTGTCTATTGTGTTTGGAATGTGGCGTAGAGTGATGCATACAGTATAAAATGTTAGAAGTCAGTAATTTGATCCCTTGCTTGTCAAGGCAAATCCTGTCTTGCTTGAAGAAATGTCGGTGTTCCCAGAAAATGGAAAAATTGTCAATAAAGTTCACAGAGTGAGAAGCACACACATTTCTCAGCCATCAAGACAGCGACATTATCCAGCTCAAGCGCTCATCAACTCGCTGGACCGTTGGCAGAGGTCCACTCTGCATTTTGAGATTGTATTTTTTGTAGGTTATGTTTTGTAGATGCTTCACTTAAAATTCCTATTTTATATTAATGAGAGCGGGCGGTCCGGGTTCAGATTACCGGGTTCAATTCTAGCTTCGGCCTTCCTGTGTGGAGTTTGCATGTTCTCCCCGTGCTTGCGTGGGTTTTCTCCGGGTCCTCCTGTTTCCTCCCACATTCCAAAAACATGCGTGGCAGGCTGATTGTACACTCCAAATTCTCCCTAGGTGTTTAAAAACCCTCTCCATACGAGCAGAGCTAAGGAATGGGGTGTTGTACTTAATTAACAAGTCCACCCGGTGAGTTCTCACTGCAGTACGCACAGGTGGGTGAGCAGTGGCGCATTTGAACCGTTCCAAGGCAATTTTTGTCCTGATCCCATTTCGCCAAAGTAGGTCGAAATGAACTTTTGGCTGCCTCGCGTCGATATCCAAAACATAGGTAGTACGTCACACACATGAATTAATCGACGCAGCCGAATAAAGTAAAGTGTGTCTCTTTGGACAGTCATTTTATGATGAGGGTACGCTGCCATACCAGAAAAATTTATGATGAAAGCAGGGTTAAAACAAAAAGATTTTAAATGCCCACCCCCATGTATTTGTATGTGTTTGGCGACAGTTGGCAAACGGCTTGTTCAAAACTAGGAAATGGGTGCTTGCGGCCGAATGCCTTACTGCCTCATTGTCGGCCATCAGATAATAGTGATGACTCGGCCTCAAATGGCCATCACGCAGATGTTTCTGAAAAGCGGCTCCATTGTAGCCGCTTGTCTCGTAGAAATTCTATTGTAAAAGCAAACATCTGGTCCCAAGTAAGGCTGACTTGGTGAGCAAGTGCCATTAGTCTGGTTCTGATTCTGGCTTTACATTGCATGTTAGGCTGGCTTCCCTATCTCCTCCTGTTAGCTTGTTTTTCTATGCCTCTTGCTTTGCCTTGTCCTTATTTAGTGATCATGATACTTGCTGCCAGAAAGGTGAGGATTAGTGACTTAGAGGAGCTGTGGTAGGATAGCATTTAGGTGCGATAGCTAGGCAGTCACAGTTTGGTCTGCGCAAACCAGTTGTTCCCGAGGTGCGGGGGAAAGCAGTTAGGATGGGTGACATGGATGGAGTCATTTAAAAAAAAACAGCTTGGATACGATAAAAAAAACAATGCTGGTAGCCCTGGGGTCAGACATTCTTGAAACCAGTCTCACACTGAGGCAGATACATTCGGAAGCTTAGTTGTTGGTTGGTAGGCCAAACTTATACTGTCTTAACAGGTAACAGGAAGTGTGATTTGATGAATAAACCTAAAGTAGATGACAGAGAGGTAGGCTAATGGTGATAGAGAGGCGGGCAACTGGTTGTCAAAAGAGGTGGGTTGGCAATGATCGAGAATGACTCAAACAATCTGCCCACGAATGGATGCTGAGGTGGAGGCGATACACAGCGATGCATCTATGAGTGGCATGTGTGTGACAAGAGTAGAAGAGTTGACCCATCTTCTATTGTAAGTCATTCTCAAACATCCATCCATTCATTATCTATAACGTTTGTCCTTATGAGGGTTGCTGGTGAGCTGGAGTCGATCCCAGCTGGCATTGGGTGAGAGGTGGGGTCAGGGGCAGGATGGCTATCGGGAAGATTTACATTTTCCTGAACGGCCGGTGTATTTCTGACCCAGGGCTGGCATCACGGTCGGCCAACACCCCCTACCCCATACCGATGGACAATTTGGAATCTTCAATTAACCTAAAATGAAACTCCACAAAGGAGGGCCTGAGGCGTGATTTGAACCTGGGCAATCTTTATTGTGAGGAAGAAGTGTGTCAACCAATCATCTGGAAACAAATACTTGTAAAGACTGACAGACCATAAAGGTCATGCAAACTGTAATTTGTTTATCTATTTACTGTAACCCAGTGGCAGGTGGTGAGTTTTGGACCTGAGCCTTCAGTGGGTATTTAGTGTCCTAATTCACCCCTTAATAACGCTATCACGTCACAAAATAATGTCTAAAAAAAACATAACTATGACTATGCTCAGACTGCAGAGGGTATTGACCCTTTCAGGGACAGCGGTTCCGACAGTGGACAGCTTATCACGTTATCAGGTTACAGGGTGCATGAAAGGGTTAATAAACCATTACGAAAAACAACATTGCAGATTCACGGATGATTATCTGTGTAGTCTCCTTTCCAGGCAGTCTCATCCACATGCATCGCATTCCTATCCGATTTATATCCAGACATGAAAGAGGCCGATGTGTGGCATTAAAGAAGAGCATTTCGGGTATTTAAACAAAAATCAAAGTTACCTTTATCTTCCAATACGTCACCTCAGCAGCTCCAAACCTCTGTAGTACAATATCGTACTTCACAATTAGTTTTAATCAAGATAAAAATCTTACATAAAGAACATCATACTCACCAGAAATACTAATGCAGAGGCTCCTGCCTGTCTGTATATGCCAACTGCTCTACTCATTCATAACTACTTTTAAAATTGTCCCCCCCCCAAAAAAAAAATAAAGCCACTCAGCAAAGCAGTGTTGGTTGAACTATTGAGGTTAGTTCAGCTTTCTTTAAAAGTGCACCTTGAAAGTGAATTTCTAATCATGGTCCGATATCGTCTCATAAATGAAGCTTTGGTTGCACACACAGTTGAATCAATCAGAAGTGATACGGAGGTGGACCAATGAGAGCACGGAGAAAATCACTCGCCACAAGGCCGGTGGGACGGCTTTCCAGAGGTGAATCTAGAATCTGATTGGCTCAAAGAACAACCAGCGATTTCAGTGGTGTGTGTGTGTGTGTGTGTGTGTGTGTGTGTGTGTGTGTGTGTGTGTGTGTGTGTGTGTGGTCATCACTTGCATTTGAGGTTCTGAAGGTGCTGGATGCAGTAATAGGTGCATGGCAACGTGTCAAAGCTGAAATCTGATTGGACAAAATAAAACTTAACCCCAAAACGACTGGAAGCCACACACAACCACTACTTTTTTTGTTTTTCTTCTCTCTAACCCCCAATTTTGCTGCTGTAGACTGTAAATTTCCCCAGTGTGGGACAAATAAAGGATATCTTATCTTATCTTATATTATCTTATCTTATCTTATCTTATGTTGGAAATAAATGATTTGCACTTCATTTAAGTTGCAAATGTATGCCTGTGTTTCTAATAGTTTTGCCCTCTGCAGAGAAGGCTTTGAAGGCCCTGAGACCACGCCATTGCAATCATTCATAGTACAGTATATATTTATTGAAAAGAAAACAAAAGGGTGGTGTCTTTGTCAACATTCGCTCCTTTAACATTTAAAACCATATGCGGGCAATGTGCAGTAAGTGTCAAACATGGCATACTGCAGACAACGAATATCAGGCATGTTATTTTTGTTCCTGTACATTTCCCCTATTTATTACTTTGTACGATAGTATACGTATTTTACAAAACCACCTCATCCAATGGGGAAGGGCACAAAGGGAAATGGATGCAGACAACTCTTCCCATACCTCAGCTCACCGTCTCTCCACCCTCCTTTTGCTCTCAGGGCTCAGCAGCCGTCTTGATGCAGTGTTACATGTCGATGGACATTGATTTTCACCTCTCTGCCTCTTTGTTTCTCTTACACTGATTCACACTCTCTGCCAACCATGCAACTCCAGGCACACACCACTTTAGAAAGTCCACTTTATGCTATGTGGTGGGGGCACTGAAAGATGGACGATGCTTTTGACAAAAACATGTTTCATGTCTGACAATCGCAGTGCTATCAGTAAAAGTCCCACCAAAAAAAAAAATCCCTTGTGCTGATAATCTTACCCAGCCTGAATTCACCTTGGTACTCACAACAAGACTCAAAAAATTACCTTTTTGTCACAATGCAATGGCGTTCACTTTGTCTCCTTAAAAAAATAGGTTTAAAATTTGCTTTTAGTTGTTTTGACAAATGTTTTATTTTTATTTTTATTATTATTTTTTTTATTTATTTATTTTTTTTTTTGGTAAGAGAAAAATCTCTTACCTTCCTAAGAGTTTAGACAGTCACTTCAGCCGAAACTATGAGCAAGGGCAGATTTGGTCGACAAAAGAAACC